AGTGCAAGCAGTGACAGGTCCATTCACTAAAAAGTATCATTGACTTGTGCACAGCTACATGGAGGAAGGTAAGTGTATGCTCCTCCCACATCTGACATTTGAATTTACACTGACACATTGTTGCACAGAGGTACAGGACTTGTCTCCGCCCTCCTAGTGTGATAGTATGGTCATCATGACTGTAATGCTGTTCACCAAGAATGTGTGTGACTCCCTGCCTTTACACATTTCACTACATTCATCTGTCAAATGTCTTGTAGGTATTTGGCTACCTCTTCAGCAATGACAGAGCAGTTATGGACCTCATGAGCAAGGTCATGCCCTCATGTACTATCCAGTCTGTCTGGGCCCATGGGTGCTTGTTCTCGGCATTGAGAACAATATACAACAGTCTAACTGTACAATATATTCATGCAATAGCTGCTTTCTCCATCATTGGACCTGACATGGCTGGTCTGAACAATGACCTTTATCTGTATCATATAATCACCCACATGGGGTTCAGCTCATCATCGAGCACCAGAAAATCATCACAGGAGCCGAGTGAGAGCATAAAGCGCTCACTGAAATATATACATCCTGATAGTCTCTGTAGCTATTGGTCAAGGTGAAGACTATAAATGTATGTCCTGGAATTTCAAGATTAACTTGGGACACCTGAGGTATCAGAGTATATCACGTACCCTTAGGATGGGCAAAACATGTATGATCTCATTCATTGCACTGGTGACACTTGCTTGAATATGGCTTGTCTTGGCAAATGGGCAGACAATCTCATCCACTGAGATGATGACTGGCGGGGATAGGTGACTTGTATATAATCAGCCAGCAATAACAAAGCCAAAGGGGCAGTAAGGATCATCCTCTGCCGATGTGGCATTGAGAGGTTTATACAACTGGACTGAGAGCAGAATCTTGCCATCGGGACTTCCATGTTTCCACGCATATATGTTTAATACTTGTGCAGCAGAAAGCGACTGCTCCTCATCATTGATGGCCACTCGGTCTATTGTATCATCCTAGTGTTCCCTAACAATTATCTGTGAATCTCTCTAAAACCAATATTTGGGGTGGTAATGGAATTCACCTAGGTGAATATAGGAGCATGAAGCAAGATCTAGACACAGTAAATGTTGATATATACAAAGAAAAGCTTATTATTCACACACCTTGGTCGAGTGTTGTGGATCCAGTGCAATCCATCACTAGCACTTTAACACCAGCATCAAAACGAGTTGCCCCAATATTCATCTTCAGTTGTAAACTCGCTGACTGCCCACTTCCTAGAATATCCATGAGCCTTATACCCCTGAAATTGGAACTGAATGCTTGAATGAAGGCAGGCTCAAGTTCCTTCAGCTCGTCCAGTAAACCACCATTTCCCAAAAGGTGACATAGATTGGCTGCATGGCTAGCTTGCTACATCATGGTCATCTCGAGCTCTCCTAATTTTAACAGAATTAACATGTGGCATCTGCTTTAGCCTCAATGCTTACCAGATTTTGCATTTGTAGGGACACTCTGTAGATGGAGATTGAAGCGCTCAAATGGGTATGTTTGCATCACATGAGATGGACCTAGATCAGATAGGAATTCATCATAGTGGTGAGCGAGATGATTTGATGGCATGAGCAGGCCTCCTTGTATAGCTTCAAGAATCCTTTAAGGTATTTCTGATAGTGGAGATGATATAGTTTAGCATGGGCATCCGATGTCAAACACATCCTGGCCAGCTGTACAGCACTAACGAGGTGCATGAAGTTTTGTAGCATTTCCCGCTTACGCCCACCTTCATTCCCCCAAAGGTGAATGAGAGTGATCACCAAGTGTATTGAACCAACTGAATGCCATTGATCAGCCTTCAGCTTTCCCACCTTCAAGCCCAATTTCTGTGGACCGGAGGAGACACAAGATGGTAGCAACATATTCTCTTGATCATGCCATATTTCCTCCAAAACATTCCTACCCAGTACAATAGAGATTTCGGGATGTGTGTCATCCTGCTGCATAGGATGAGAATTGTGCTGTGAGATATATCTATATGAGTATGAGCTACTTAGCAGTTTATGCTATCTTACCCAATGCTCAAGTTGCTCAGCAAGTACCTTTTTTTAAAGTGGCTTCCCTTCTACTGAAAGTGTTGTAATATCATGCTTTTGACATAGAGCTTGCAGAATGGCCAGACAGTGGTTTGCCATCTTGTTCTGCCTTGCCAATGCTAGCTCTGCTTTCTCAATATCCTCCAAAGAAAGGGTCTCTAAGGACACTCTGCAGTGTACCACCTTGATCTGCAGTTGAATGGGAATCATATTGCCAAGATATTTCTGCAGTGCCTGTTATGATTTCTGAGGTACAAAGAATCAGTCTTATATTGGAATTCCATGTAATGCTTGGCATTAAGCTCAATGAGGAAGGCTGTTCCCACAGTATTCAAACACCGATAAGCTGTGATTGTATGCTGTGGCTGACACAAGCTATCTGAGTTTGAAATCATACTTACTGCCATCATGCGACTTGTGTCAACACATGCAAACAAACGGTCTGTGGGCTGTGTCACAATGTG